ATAGTTGTCTGTGAGTTGTATCAAAGCCCTTCCATTGCAAGGTACCTTTCCATAATCACAGACATTGAAGTGGATGTAATTATCCTCATCTTAAGTTTTTCTTTAAATAGCCCCAGCCTTCTACAGACATACAGCGTGTGGACTTAGAAATGGTGAGTCTAGGGGTGCCTGGGTAACTCAGTTGGTTAAGAGACCTACTCTTCGTTTCAGCTCAAGTCATGATCTCATGGGTCGTGAGATCAAGCCCCATGTTGGGCTCTGCAGTCAGGGGTAGTCTGCCTGGGATTCTCACCCTCTACCCCTCCCCCAACTCGTGCCTGCTCTTTCTCTCTCTCTCTCTCTCAAATAAATAAATAAATAAAATCTTTAAAAGAAAAAAAGGGGGGAGAGAAGAAAATTAGTATGTAGGAATACAGGGGCGCCTGGGTGGCTCAGTCGTTAGGCGTCTGCCTTCGGCTCAGGTCATGATCCCAGGGTTTGGGGATCAAGCCCCGCACTGAGCTCCCTGCTCCGCAGGAAGCCTGCTTCTCCCTCTCCCACTCCCCCTGCTTGTGTTCCCTCTCTCACTGTGTCTCTCTGTCAGAAAATAAATAAAATCTTTAAAAAAAATATGTAGGGAATACTAATGAATGTTGTACACCAAATAAAGCATTTTGTATACCTAATCTACTTTAATCCTCACATCTATCATTTAAAAAATAGGTGCTCTTATCACCACATTTTAGACAAAAATGAGGTTTAGTAAGGTTAGGCAACCTTGGTCAGGTCACATAGCTACTGCAGTGCAGAACTGGGATTTCAATGCAGGCCATTTGGATTCCAAAGCTCCTAAATTCAAACTCAGGCAAGAGGTTTACAATCCAGATATCCTAAAAGGTATTTGCAATTCACAGACTCCTTTAAAGCATCTGAAGTCACATAGATAGTAGATGTCTTCCTAAATCTCAGTCTATTCTCTTTAAGAAATCAGTTATTTACAAAAACAAACTTCAATCAACTTAGATAAAATTAATCCCATTATAAGAATATCTGAAGGTCGGGCACCTGGGTGGCTGTTGGTTAAGCGACTGCCTTCGCTCAGGTCATGATCCTGGAGTCCCGGGATCGAGTCCCACATCAGGCTCCCTGCTCAGCAGGGAGTCAGCTTCTCCCTCTGACCCTCTTCCCTCTCGTGCTATCTCTCATTCTCTCTCTCTCAAATAAATAAATAAAATCTTTAAAAAAAAAAGAATATCTGAAGGTCTTTTAGATTCAGTACAGTAATAGCTTTTTCATGATTAGTATTCCAACAACTTGACATAGTCCATTTAATTCTTGTAGATAAGCAATCAACTCTCAGATCTCTAGTAGGAAGGTATTCTACATGAGGTATCACAGTAGACCAAGAATCAAGAGCTCCAGGTTCAAATTCTGCATCTCTCACCTATTAGACTGTATAACACTGACAAGTGCATGAACTTTTCTGAGCTTATTGCCTCACCATGGATACAACAGTGATGTGATGTTAGATAGATGACCATTAAGGTCCCTTCAAGTTCTAACACTATATGACATTTAGAATCTCTTCTAAAGTATAAGAAGCAGAAGTACCATTGGATAAAACCTCTAAGACAATCTATGTGACAATGCCCAGGCCAGATCTCTGCTCTCAGGCAATGAGATGGTCTTTCTTCGGCCTCTAAGTTATAGCAGTGATGGTAGTGATAGAAATAATAGTAGTATAGCTAAGATTTATTGAGCACTTGCAATGTGCAAACCACCGAACTAAGAATTTTACATGTACTGTCTGATATTTAACTCGACACAACAACAGATGAGGTAGACACTATAATTTTTCCAATTTTCCAAAGAAGTAACAAAGGAACAGAAAGATTAGGTAAGTTGATTGGGTCTATACTTATAATAAGTGGTGAAACCAAAAAGAGTTCTATTGACATATCTTTGTTTCCTGTACTACTCTGTGTGTTCTCTGAGGACAGGAACTTTGCTTTATTCATTTAGCTTAACACTGTGTCTGGCAAATAGTAGGCCTCCATTTACTGTGTAGAATAAAAAGAAAGAAAATGAGGAAGGGAGGGTGGAGGGGAAGAAAGGGGAAGAAGAAAGTATATTTAGACATGCTATGTTCTTAATAAATGTTAATTTTCTTCCTTTATTTCTTTAACCCTGAAGTCACAGAAAAATCTACAATTATGCCTAGGCATCCTGGGGCTTAGCAATTTCTCCTTCCTGGGGATTCTATACTATACTTTTTGGTACAAGTCAGTGAAGCAGCTACTGTTATCTGGTTTAGTATTCTAGCTAACTGATGTTCTTGCCTCATCTCTTAATTTCTAATGTTGAGACTAACAGAGGAATGTAGTTTATTCTACTACACTAAGCTCTAGGGAAAAAAGAATGCCCTTGATACTAGCCTCTCACCCACTGGTATAAAATAAGGTGAAAGAAAAACTGTTCCCAGAAGAAAGGTACTTCCAGGCCTAAAGGTACCCATGATTAACATTAACTAGTGGTATCAAATTTGAGAACCCTAAACAAAATGTTTTGATGCACTAGACACTGGCCCATTCTGCAGCCTCTGCCATTGTCATGTGATTGCTTCATGTAGCACAAAATGGATCTCTGGGGGGCCTATCCAAAGCAGGTCTTAACTACCCTATTTTGACTTTACCTCTACTTGGCTTCATCTCTACTTATTTACAGTTAGAATTTAGTGAATAAAAGAAACCATAATTATAAACATGTATACAGTAAACACAGGGCCCATTACTTATGTTTAGCAAAAACAGTTACAGATCTTATCTGACACGAAGAAAGTTAATATACATTTCATTTTTGTGTTTTCAGTGAGGTAGAAATTGGGAAATACAGGGGCGGGTGGGTGATAGATGGAGAGGGAGAGATGGAAAGAAAGTGATTGCTCAGGAAACCAATGGCATTGATCATATTAACACAGAAGATTTGTTTATTCATACGCTGCAAAGTATTTCTAAAATGAGAAAGAACTTAGTCATTGAATATCTCAGCATTGTGTGAAAAATAGGCATAAAGACTTTTCTCATAGTCAGCAAAAATAAATATAAAGCATATTGCAAATAGTGTTATGTAAATTCTTGATTATAATGAGGATCAATTCTTACATATTCATTTCTCATTTTAAGGACAGAATTTATCGGTAGTCTCATCTCTGTCTAATCAGCAGTATGAGAACTAAAGGAAGTCCAAAGACCCATCCAGAATATATAACAAGTAACAAATTTCTAAGACTTTCTATTCCTCTATTTCTAATACAACTCCAGACATGTTTTATTCATATATGCATTCATTCAACATTTACTGACCACCTACTCTGTATAAAGCATTGTATTAAAAGGCTGTGGATAGTGCTCTACTTATCTCAGTACCTGTGTTTCCTACTCCCAAAGAGGTTAAGTTCATTTTACGGTGATTAAAAAACAAAACAAAAAACAGCTTAAATGGAACAATAAAAAGAAAAGAAAAGAAACAATAAAAAGAAAAATACTAATGGCAGCTTCTTAACCTTTTATTAATATAGCATTGTTAAGGAAAATAATGCAAGTTATTTGAATAAGTTTTCAGTATCAGGAATTTGGGACTACCAAATACATTATTCACTTAAATGCTTTTTATATTAAGTTGCCACTTTCTATATTGCATTTAAAGAACTTGACCTAATTAGTATAAGCTATAGTCTCTAATAGCTTGTCTACACTAAAAATGTAAATATTTATCAGAAAATAGGTAGAGCTATTAACATCTAAAACATCAACACTTAGGAAAAAATACCAGGTGACAAGGATTTGGCAAAAGGTTAATATTCCAGCCTTAAAATCTACATCTGGATTTTAGACCCTTTTCTAGGACTACCATTAAGTAAGTTTTACTTTTTTTTCCTCTCTCACTTCCACCCAACTGCAACAGACACATGCACAAATCAAGAAATCATCTTACAATATATGCTTAAATGTTCTGAATATGCCCCATGTGTCCACTAATAGCCAAATGCTTTCAAATCTGTTCAGCTAAATGGATCAATAACTACATCCAGTCTCAAATAGTGGGGTTGCCAACATGGTGAAACGGAGCCAAACACAAAATGTCTCTACCAGGACAAAAATTATTATCCACCCAGTAATCTAGAGAGATCTACTTTCCCCAGGTATCGTTTAGAGAAGTTAACACGCACATTATCTAGGGCAGTCAACAGCTATTAAAAACAAATAATAATAGTTGAGGCTCAGGACGAAGGATTTAGAGAAAATAGTGAGTTTTATAACAAACCAGGTAATAGCTCAAGGTCTACGTCAAATAAGAATCTTCCAAACTCAGAGTACACAAAATACGTAACAGCTAGAGCAAACTGCTAACAAGCTTCTCTGTGCGCTCACTCATATGACACAGCTGTAAGAAACAATTGAGCAGGTGCAACCAAGCTTTTGAGAATTCCTGCCTGTTGCCCAGGAACCACAACACTGCACAGTTGAGATTTTAAGCAGGTGCAAACATTTTTTTTTCCATTCCTCTGGTGCTTGAGACTGCAGCAGACCAGTATATCTGCAACCACTCCTTACCTAAAACAACCACCACAGAAAATAAACTCCAAAGTGACAAAAAAAAAGTTTGAAAATAAAACAATAATGTCAAAAACAGTGGTTTTGCAATAGTCTCTGACCCCGTATCAGCAGTCGCTTTAATAATACAGTTCCATAAAACACTCTAATCTCTTCACCAGATGAATGCTTTGTAATTAAAATTATTCTGCCTCATCAAATCTTAGAAATGTTTATTTGATTCTTACAATAGAGTGAAATGCAAGGTATGTATAAAATGCACTCTCCTTTGAAGCTGTCAATATTTATAAGTACTCAAAAATTAACATTTTCACATTATGAAATCTATAAGCAATTTTAATATACAAAACTAGTAACTTGTCAGTTAATACATAGATTTACATAAATATAGGTAATTCATATACATACCTGTGCAGCTATGGGGCACAGACAGACATGCAATTTATCAGGCACTCTGAAATGCAAAACAAATATATAAGTAAAAATTAATTTTCTAAGTGGAGCCAGTATTTATGCTGAGGCAGTTTCTGCAGAGAAGTAGAAAAGACTGCAGTCCTTAAAGAGGTGAATAATTTTATATCTATATTTTCCCCAGCGGATATTTCAGACCACCCCAAATTCATATGTGTGAATCAACACACACAAAGAGTCCCTTAGCAGTGTTATCAAAAACAAGTACCAGCAAGGGACTAAGACTCACCATGCCCCCTAAAATGAAAATGGTTTCACTGGAGGATGAAGCAAACACTTAAAAATGATTTTTTTTTGTTGGTATTCTTCCAAAACTATTGCCTTCCTAAAACAAATATGACTGCTACTCTAAAACGAAACCACTCAGATTCATCTGTACTCAGTTTGGATAGAACACTGGTGAGGAAGAAAGGTGCTTTTGTAGAGCAGTCCACAAACGTGCATAAATAAATAAATAAAAGTAAACTTTGAACGTTCATTAACTTTAGGTTACAACAGCAAACAGAAATGAGATTGTTTCGCTACAAGAGGGAATGCTAAAGTCACACCAGATATAATGCCTCAACCTGGCACACTTCGAGAAAACTGCCAGTGAAGTTGGTATCAATACAGAAGGCAACATAAATCCAGCTCAAAGTACACAGACTTTACAATTAGACCTGAAATATATTTGTGTGTAGGTGGAAACTGCATTGCAACATGTGGTCTCTGGACTACTTGGACCCTTAAAAATATTCCATAATTCTTTCTGAAAGCAAACTGAAGTGTTTAATTTATATACTTCTAAGCATAGTTAATGAAGGTAACATATTAAAGTCAGTAGGTCTACACACTTGCTTAAAAGTGTGTAGAGGAAATAATCAATTTTTTCATGGTGATTCAATGAAACACTATCTTCATACACTTCTGATGGGACTGAATTGCTAAAAAATTTCTGGGAAACTATTGGGTAATATGTATCAAGAACTTAAAGTTCAAAATTTTTACTCAGTAACTTTAGTTCCAGGAATCTATCTTATATGACTGAAAACCATAAATCTACAAAAGAAAAATGTTTATGATAGCAAAAAACTAAAAGCAAACTAAATGTCCAACAGTGGAAAAAGTAATTAAATAAAGCATAGCACATCCATGTAAAGGAATGTTTTGCAACAATCCAAAAGGTAACTTGTGGTACTATAATTTTATATAAACATATAGGGTACTGATTGCATGGACATAATGAAATTGTATAGAGGAGGAAAAAAGAGAAAGAACATACAAAAATATTAAGAATGATTATATCTTAATTAGATACAGATAGTTTTAATTTTTGATTTTTACTTTTGCATATAGTCTCTACAATAAAGATTACTTTTATAATAGGAAAAGATATTAGCTGGCAGGGTAGGAATAAAAGAAAAAAGTTATAGAGTGCCATATGGAAATCATAAATCTAACCTTCCTAAGTGAAATAAATTAATTCAGTCACACATAAAATCCACTAAGCATACCTACAGTGAGAAACTCATCTTCCCTGCTTCCTCAGAGGGGTACATCCAGGGTCTCTTTCATCCCACTGCTTCAGAATCTACACCAGTAATTCATGACACATTTTTAATCATCTTAAACTTCTTTAATTATGCAGAGTGAAATGATGGCAAGAACAATTTAGACTGCAAATCTGTTCAACCTATTACAGACTAATTTATTCACTAAGTCAACAATATTTAGTGAGCATCTAGTACATGCAAAGTGTTGTATTTGGTATTACTATATGCTAAAAGATAAAACAACATATCTTACCCTCATAGAGCTAAATGTTTAAAAGTGCTAGAAAATGTACTGAATGGAGCACTGGGTATTATAAGCAAACAGTGAATCATGGAACACTACATCAAAAACTAATAATGTAATGCATGGTGATTAACATAACATAATAAAATTAAATTAAATTTTAAAAGTGCTAAAAAATATGCTCATATACCTTCCTATTAATTTTGCTGGAAACCCAAAACTGTCCTTAAGAAATAAAGTCTTAAAAACAAAAAAACCAAAACAAGAAATATGTACATACAGTTCACATAGAGATGTAAACACAATACAGTTTAAGGTATTTGTGACAGATATGGTACATTTTAAAACAAGAAAATATACGTCAGGCTTATTCTTTCATACTACTGCACAAAATCTGATATTTAGGTACCATTCAAGAGTCATGAGTACATGAATGTATATCACTTATAAAATGCCTAATAAATTCCTTTAAGTATTTAATTTTGTTTCTTATATGATCTACTATTTGTTAATAGAGAATTATATAAAGGAGACCAGGTATGGAGACATATTAATCCAACCTCAGATGCCAGATGTCTAAGCCTGTCTTAGATTATCTAAGGCCACACGAAACATATGTACAATTATTAACAAGCTATAGTTAATTTATTGACAACCATTTGCTAACTTTGCCAAAAACACTGTTGTGACACTACCAGGGAAAGGAAAGGAGATAGGAGTGGACAGACGGAAGCTGAGGGGATCTCCAACAGCCAAAGGTGGTGATGGGGGTGGGTGAGACCATTTTTGTTGTGTAGATAAAGTGATGCAGCACAGAGCTTCTCTTAATAGCAGTTCAGCTTTCTTTTGGCCCGTAACCATAAACGTAACCAGCATTTGCCCCTCCAAAGCAACACACAGTGGTTTTAAGTTTTGGTCAATGGGGTCAGCTTGTGCAAAGTGGTGACAAGAACGAAGAGAAACTTCTCATGTGATCAATGATCTGTTGATCTGGAGCTCACAGAGTTCCGCACAGCAGCAGTTATATGAGGTAGCACAGTGGTTAAGTGATTAGTTTTGCCATCAGACAAACCTGGAATCAAATTCCAGTTCTCTTCAATCATGTGGTCTCAAGCAAGTGACATTTTCCCTGTCTGTAAAATGAAGATCATGTTACCTACTCTATAGGATTATTTGTGCCTATTACATGTTATAGGCATGTAAAGGAACTAGCACAGTGCCTGCTATAAAGTAAGCATTGCTGAAGGGAAGCTATTAGTACTGCTCTAGTTGTTGAGAAAAGGAGAGGATATCTGTCTCTTTAAGCTAAAGTGCTAACCTAAGCAGGAGTAAGGAGACAGAAAGATGGCTTACTCAAGATACCACTCTATATTCCACAGCTTATCCAAGAGCCAGTCAGGTGCTGGATATTCACCGAGTAGCTCTGAATCAGGAAACACTGTAACAATAGTAACAGCCACAATAAGCAACCCTAACCAGCCTTTTAAAGCACCATTCCTATTATTGAAGAGGAAGACAGTAGGATCTCAGTATTATGTGCAGCAATACTGTCCATTTTTCTGAGTGAAAAATGAAGGCTTATTTTCCATACTTTACTGAAACAATTAGGGAATAGAAAATAAGGATGAAATAAACGTAATGATTCAATGGAAATGAGGCCAAGGTGTTGTGGGCTCCTTAACAGTCAATCACAAGTGGCAGAATCACCTTTTTATGTTTTCTAAAGAGACCCTGCGAATGACCTGAGCTCACAAATAATACATGGTTTGCAAACAGAAGTAAAAAATATTATATTGGGGGTGGGAGGGATGGGGTGGCTGGGTGACAGACATTGGGGAGGGTATGTGCTACGGTGAGCGCTGTGAATTGTGCAAGACTGTTGAATCACAGATCTGTACTTCTGAAACAAATAACGCAACATATTTTAAGAAAAAAGAAAAAGAAGAAGATAGCAGGAGAGGAAGAAAGAAGGGGAGTAAGTCAGAGGGGGAGACGAACCAGGAGAGATGATGGACTCTGAAAACCAAACTGAGGGTTCTAGAGGGGAGGAGGGTAGGGGGATGGGTTAGCCTGGTGATGGGTATTAAAGAGGGCACATTCTGCATGGAGCACTGGGTGTTATGAACAAACAATGAATCATGGAACACTACACCAAAACAAATGATGTAATATATGGTGATTAACATAACAATAAAAAATTAAAAAAATATATTATAGTCAGTTTTTCTCCCCTGGTTTGGAATATGTAAATGAAGGAATAATGTTGTTCTGACAGTCCTTATTTCTGTTTTGATTTGGAGAACAGCACTGATCAGAATTGTTAAATGGAGTCTTCAGAATCCCATGCAGATGATATAATCCCTAAAATGGTTTGGGTCACATGAGGGTGAAGTTGCTATCAGCACCATTCCAGATGGAGATATACTATAGAGGATTTGTGTTAAGTTCTTTTTACTTCCAGGTTGGCACAGTTGTATTCCCCAGTGGGAACTGAATAAGTCCAATTCTGTGCTGTGAAGTGCAGGAAAGTTTATCTTCCCTCCATACTGGTTAGGCCTGGCTAGAGATGGAAGACGGGGGTACTCAGTGGTGCCTCGTGGGCCATTAATAAATCAAATAGCTAATTCATTTAAGGCACTGAAAAGGGCCTCAGCAGAGTCTGTAGGGGCCAGTGGCTCCATAAAAGAGCTCTAGACCTAAATTTAGACCACAAACTACTTCCCCAGTGACCAAGTGAGCATTCTTAGGAACATTTTAAGTGCTTTACATTTTAAGTGTCACCTATTTTGAGAAAAGACACTTTGTAAACCAAAATATTTTTATTTTATTTCATATGTGTTTACTTCTGGACCCACTACTGAGCCGAGCAGAGTGCTCTATCATTATTATATTGTTATTATAAAATGTTGAATTTAATCATCAATAAAATCAATTTCATTTTTTTAAAATTGAGGTGCTCTAATTCCTGTGGTTTTATCTGAACAGAAAGCCTATGAAGGGTAAGAGGAATTATAATTTTAAAAGTAGACTTGAAAAACTACTTAATTATGCTTATTTTTGTAAATTACTAAGCTACATTTAGCCCTTCACACTTAAACAAATCTCTCTTCCTATCAGAAAGAGGAAGTATGAGAAGCAACAGTTATCTAAGTATCAACCCTGTGAACTGGAAATAGATAAAGGGCAATAAGGAAGGAAAAGGAAATC